GGGGAGGAGATGCAGTAAGGTGCTGCACCAAACTGCAGCACATCGCCCCAGTGCCCCCACCAGCCCACCCCGCATCCTCCCAGTGGCCAAACCAGCTCCTCTCCCCTTAAATCCGTCCTTGGGGCAGAAAACTTTTATGTCAGCTTAATTTTCTGGCGTAAGGCACTGTCAGCTGGTATGCTCTGGCTTTGAAAGCCTCTTCAGGGTTCACATGCTGCAGCTGATTTGCAGGAACTAAACGTAGACCTTGTCAAAAAGAGGAATTGATCCCGCTGGCATATAGATTTCTGTAAACAAGGTATGATCTCACAGCGCTGACGCGTGCGGCAGTCACTGTGTGTCTGGTGAGGACCAGGAGCTGCAGACACGGCCCCGACCATGAGCAGCTGTGTTGTTCCAGCTGGGGACCAGCACCAAAGGAGCCTTCTCGGTTTCTCCAGATCTTTGTGCAACGTTTCCGCCTTCTCTTGGCTGGTTCCATCTGGGAGACAGGTTCCCGTAACGAACTCCCAAATGGAGGAAGGGGGATTAGTAGCCTCTTGCAGAAGTTTCTGTCTTGCCTTCCTCCTGGGCATCCTTCCCCACCAGCTTTTAATGGCTTTAAAGAGTAGGAGAAGAGTTTCTGAGTGAGGTGTGCGCCAGTGCAGAAGGGATGTGAGGAAGGCCAGCTCTTCTCACTGGTGCAACATCATGTTTCCCATCTGAACGGACGGAAAATCTGAGTAACAGACCTGCAAACCTATCGTAGCACCAAGCTGCCATGTTCTGCTTTGATGGGGAAGAAGGAAGGCCTGTGCCTTTGCTGTAACCGCACGTGCTGTGTGCTTCTCACTGATGAGGTACCCTGGGATCAGCATCAGGACTGCTCAGCTGCCTTTGTAGTGGTCTGCACCCTCTGTCACTGCTCCGAAAGCAGTTAACAGTCGTCAGGCGGCGAGGCTGGCTGGTGGATGGCGCAGTGCTGTGGATCAGGCACGGTGCGAATGGGAAAGGTCTGCCCCACTTTGAACAGCAGAAATGCTTGAGGTTTGCAAAACAGCTCAGCATCGAGCTCGTTCTGCTCCAGTATGATGTTAAAATGTACACGTAGAACTGCATATCCCTAATTTAGGCTTTCTGGCTCTTAAATAAGCTCAACCAGAGCTAATTTTAGAAATATCACTGCAAAGCTATTCTTCATCTCATTTCATGGGCAAGAATAGTAAAGGCTCAGAGCTCCAACATGTGTTTAACTAAGCGGGAGCCAGCCCAGAGCTGCTCTCGATGGGAAAACCACATAGCCCATGGCCCTGCTGCAAGACAG